CGCGCCGTCGTCGCACCGTCGTTGCACTGTCGTCGCACCGTCGTCTCATCGTCGTCGCATCGTCGTCGCATCGTCGCCGTGTCGTCGTCGCAACGTCGTCGTGTTGTCACTTTCCGGCCGTCAAGACCCCTCCTCTTATACTAGAAACCATACCCCGCATGTCTTCAGAACTTAGATAACCTTTAACCAACCCATCAACCCAAACGATGAAAGCCAAAATCCGAAGCCTTCCGAAAGTCATATATGCAGAAGGACATGTTCTTGTTGTTGGTTACCACAGCGACGTATTTCAGTCTGCCACACGAGCCATTGTCTTCCTACCCATGATGGCAGTTGCTGATGCCATGATTCCAGCACTCACGATTACACCTGCCACTACCCTTCTACCAGTACAATTGCCATGATTCGACCAGCACTCAGCTTCCTTATGGCGGCCCTTATCGGTCTAGCTGTCGCCGTCTCTGTTGCTATGCCTAGTACTACGCGTCTCTGTGGCGGTTCGTCGTTGCTATCAGTAGGACTAGGGCAGCAGTAGCAGCAGCCGTAGCGGCAGAAGCACGTGCAGCAGTAGCAGCAGCAGCACTACCAGTCATCGACATTGTCTTTCCAAACAATGATAATGCATCGCCATGGGTCTGCTTGCAACTGTCTGTGTCTGGATGACGGCTGCGACAAGCACACTCCTCGCGCTCTATCTCTCTTCCTTTTTACGGTTGTCGTGCAACCAGTAATGAGTATCATGAAAAGTCTGGTTGTTGTAATGCTCTGTGGTGTTGCTACTGCTGATATAGTGATTACAGGAAGTCTTGTGTCTATGCTGTCGTTTGCTGATGGTGCCCATTTCGAAGCTGGCTGGATTCTTTGCCGCCGCGCTGCCGTCCATTCCCAAGACTTCGGTCATGTTCTCCGCTTCTCCGACCTGCCGTTGACAAGTGTTTTGGGTGTGGGCCCAGGAAAAGGAAATTTCGACGAGCAAGAGGCACAGAAACATGCAGGCAAGAAAGATCCCGCGTCAGACTATAGAACTGCCAAAAACTGTCACGCAAGAACTAGTCTGCCTCGATGGAGGTCTGGAGGAGAGAATGCTCCTCAGTCTCCGACGAGCTGTCTTCATGCTGGACCCCGAAACTCAGGCGGAAGGGGCAGTCCTCCAAGGGATGGATGTCCGCCTCTCCAGCAGTGACACTGCCATCAGCTTCTACCTCGGCATAGCCAGCAACACACGGGCTTTTAGAAACAAGAACCGCGGGATCAAACTCGGCCAAATCGGTTCTCCTTCTGAGGCCAGTACCGCCTCTAAGGCCGACGGCTTCGAGGGAGTTAGGCGCAAGGACTTCTGGAGGAGCTGGACATCCAGCAGTGGGGTTTCATCCTGGCCGCAGATCCACAACGGCCATGGAAAAGCACTGCTATCAACAACATGTGTGTTGACGGCTGACTGCACCCTTGAAGTGATGCGCCTCAACCACACCGCAGTCCGCCTCCAGACATTCCGAGTCCGTGGCAGTCACCACACGGAGGACTGCCAAGGTGGCAAACGCAAATCGCACTGCCTCGAGGCTTTGGGTCTGTGTCGGCCTCTCTTCGAGTCGCAAAGTTCAAGAAGCCAGAGCTGAGGCTCTGACGTTCAACATGAATCGGTTCAAGTCCTTAGCTGAAAGCTTTCTGGAGCCAGGAAGTGTGCCATCGGATGCTCACGGGATGTGGCCGTGAATGATTCTGCAGTGTGTGAAGTCATCCATTGGGGTGCCCGTTCTTACCGCAAAGCATCAGCAGGGTGATGATCAGAGCGACACCCCAGCTTCCCTCATTCTCATGTCACTCGGAGAGTCTACGGAAAGCTCGAGGGAAAAAAATGCGGACTCCGGAACCTATCTCAGCCTTGCTTGCAGTCGTAAGAAAACAGGATACAAATGCAAGATCGCGAAATGCACGTGTACAGTGCCTTTCATAGTCACCACTGATTGAGCCATGGGTCGCTTCTCTGCAGAAAGTATACGGAGAGTGCTTGCACGCCAGGCGGGATTTCCTCAGCGGGCCTCAATCTTCTCGGAAGCTGCAGAACTGCACCAGTCCACATCGAAAGCAAGCCACTAGTAGACAAGTTTAACGTATGACGGCAGCATGGCCACCTACTAGGCTGAGCTACGCAGGGGGCTGTATTACATCTCCCAGGTGATGGCAAAACGAGGTAGTCTGAGGCAAGCGCAACTGCGACCAAAAGCAAATCCGGGAGAGTCCGGGTCTCGAGCCAACAAAATTTTGTGATAGGGGTCTTTGCATGCGCCAGCCGTCATAGAATTGGCCGTTCAACCAATCCTGCGGATTATGCACTGCACATTCCAATCCGATTTTGTGCCACCGCTTGGCATTCTTCTGGGCTGCTTTTCGTGCTTGCCCGTTCTGGCTCGTGAAACTAGAGCTTTCCAAAACTGCTTGCAACATTCCGGAAAGCTGTCGCAGACCGACGTCCATTTCTGTGTGGCTACAGAGTCTTCGGCATAGCAGTTCTGGAACTTAACGCCTGTGCCCACATCCGTGGCCGCACCGCTCGTCAGAAGGACAACTGTAGGCAGTCTGGGACTGGCAGAACTGGAAGTATCAAAACCGATGCTGCTGTGGGGCTCATGATGGCTTCCTTAGTCCACACTGGGCTTAAGAATTCGTGTGCCAAGAACTTCAAAACGAACTTAGCCACTTCAGCTGTGGTGCTGCAGCTGCATCTGCTGCTGCTTCTCCTGGAATCGCAAGCCCACCCGCCTCGATCACAAGAATATGCTGGGATCTTGCAAGCAGCAAGCACATTCAGACGCACCGCCGGGCCCCCAGCTGGGTAAAGGACATGTACTTCTGCACCTCGCGTCGCTCGTGTACGCCAAGCATCAACCCGGCAAGTCTAAGCTCCGCACGCAACGAGTAACACACTGCTCCTCAGAGCCTTCCAGGCCCTGCGACGGTGAACAAGATGCTTTCCGAATAGAACAGAAGGCTCCATACATCCGATCAAGACTGACCTTGACAGTAGGCATCCCTGCTCTTTCCATGGATGCGCGAGAAAGTTGCGAATGCCTTCGTTCGGAAGCTCGTGATGCACTCGTTGAAACATCTTTCCACCAAGTTGTTGTAGGTGTTCATCATCTCCTGTACGAGTCAGAAAGCAGCCAAGGCTCGTCTCGTGAGCTGACCAAGCACTCCTGCATCTGCATTTCGTTGAGCGCAGCCATGACCTGCATCTGGTCCCTCTGGGACAGTTGGTCCATGCCTAGCAGGTCACTACAGCCCCGGTTGAAGATCTGCACTCCACCAGCGCACTACCCCCCCCCTCACCCCCCACCCCGGGGCCTGGCATGGCCATGGTTCTCGGAGACCAGAAGAGTGCACCGATCAAGCGGCGCCCGGAATTATTCGACTTGGAATGCTTGAGCAACAAAGGACCTAAGCAAAAGCCAGAATGCCAGAAGCGAGGCCCGAAGCCAACTTAAGGGTTTCGGTCACGCTCCGGAGCTTGCATAGTGCTTCACTTACGACAGACGCCTGGCAATACTACACCGCGCCATCTACACCGTGCCTTTTGCGAAACCATTTGGCTGTCTCGAGGGTCTGGTGAAAGCTGTTCGCGTCGGCTCTGCAGTGGTTGCAGGGCAAAAACCTGGTAAAAGTGAGACCAAGCTGGTGAAAAGCCGGCTGGAAATATCCAACGCTAGGTATTCTCCAGGTCCGGGTCTTTTCACAACTCATGTATGCACCACACTTGAGATGAGACTGATGAGACTTTACAGCTCCAGTAGCTTGCTACCCGGATATGAACGCCCTACTAGCATGCAGGTAAAGGTAAACGAACCACATAAGCACCACTGGCTGGCTGGACGGCTGGTCCACGGCTTGCACAATGCTTGGATGACCGGCGGGTACATACGTAGATTTACAGCTGGACTCCCAGGTGGAATTCGGAACAACCGTCCCCGACAGACCGCTGCCCGATGTCAGTCGTCCTCGGCTAGCAGAATGCCCTGATGGAGGGCATCAGCCGGGATGTCGTCCGAGCTCATCGCACTCCACCTGGAGGCACATCAAGCACTTCAGAATGCTTGGGTTGTCCAAACGGTTGATTCTTCGGCTTTTTGGAGAAGTCGCCTCTTTGCCCAAGCTTTCAAGGCACCGCTGGACTTCTTTCCAAAAGGCTGCTGACCGACATCGACCAGGCAACGGTTCACACTCGAGTGAAGCAAGGCATCTGCAAGCTCTTCGCAGGAGCAGAGTCCTGCGATAACGAACTTCCGCACCACCTGCACGCATAAAGACATCTCCGGTGGGGGTTACAATTGCTTTGCGAACCCTCCCAAGCCTTGCTCTGATCCTCCTCCTCCCAGCCCGTGTGCTTTGCCACGTCTTTCACCACATCTTCTAGCTCGGCGAGCTCCTCTGCATGTGAGCTCTAAGACTCTAAGGTCCGAGGGCTCGGGATTCAGGCGCGAGCGCGAGCGCGAAGGCGCCTCGGCCACGTGCTGCAGGTGCCGCAAGCTCCGCTTGCCGAAACCCTTGCCCTTCGGCAGCTTGGAGTTGATGTCGCCTCTCTCTCGAACTATGGGAGAGGAAACCCGAAACTTCTCCGAGTTAAAAAAAAGACAGTCCGGATTCGAAATCCGCAAATGGATTTAAGAAACAAGAGCCGGGCTCTGCCTGAGAGGAGCAGTGTCAGGAAGACGTGCGGGGAAGAGATCTCTGCAGACCTCAGAGGCGCTATCCCAAAGCAACCCCTCGGCGCAGCTCATCACCATCACAGGTCCTGGTCAAAGACCCGCAGAATGAATCCGTGCCCTACATTCTGAAGGATTGCACATGCTTCCGGGGCAGTCAGGGCCAGGAAGCTGGAGCTTCTGCGCCACAGCCTGCTGATCCTCCTCGCTCCAGCCCGTCAACTCGGCGGCTTTGCGCACGACTTGCCTTGGTTTCAAGCGGCTTCGCGCGGAGGCCCGCAGGATGTAAGGCTCTACCGTTGCTTGCATCGAATACTTCATAGCGGTTCGAAGTTCTAAGGGCTTGAGGAGAGGGCATCTAGAGTCTACAGTAGGTCTGAGCGAAAGTGCAAGGAGTTGGTTTCCTGCTCAACTGTTGCATGCTTACTGTACGCCTCGTCTGCTACGAGTTGTAACGCTTTCTGTTAGTGGCTTGGCACAAGTCAGACTGACCATCAAACAGCAACACCGCAGCGGTTCGCCCGAAAACAGAGCCCCAGCTACAGCATTGCTTGCTCATCCGGGTCATCTTCCTTCTCCTCCTTCTCCATTTCTGGAGGGGCAGAAAGCTCGACCTCGCCATCACCATGGTCTGCTATGACCTGCAGGGAAGGAGTTCTGGGGCTCTCTTTGGGAGCTTCAGGTCGCAACTACAGGCTGAGGGCTGGCCTCTGAATCCTGCGGGCAGACAACGGTGAGGTAGATTCGGCTGCTGAGACTCGACTTGAATTCAATGAGCAGCGTGTCTCCCTTGCGTGCTGTGAAGGTGGCCTCCGTAGACGAGCCCCTCCCTGAAGCCCGAGTCCGCTCTCGTGATTGATCATGTCGAGTCTTTAGACAGGATAGTTTGATCACTGCCCTTGCGGCGGAGTCCGGCAATGCACGCGAAGTCGGTCCGCCAAAAAGCACGCGAACCGATCCAGGAGATAAAGCCTTGACAACAATTTTCGGCGGCGTCTTACCAGGCTCGTATTCTGTTGCCTAAGATGTCAGGCGAAAGCCAGGCCCTATGAATTCACAAATTCACCGATGACCTTGCAAAATCTTGATCCGAGCGACCACATGGTACAGACTGTGCGTCTTTGGAGGAAAGAGCATGCCGAAGTAGGCACAAAAGAAGTGCTGACAGAAATCGTCAAAGCTCATATACCAAGTTCCGTCCTTCCCGCTCCTGGCTGCTACAGCAGACACTCGCAAGGTTTCCTGCGTGCTACTTCAACAAGACGACCCACAGATCGAAATCTCCGGAAGATGAATCAAAATGATATCTGAACCGAGCAGGAGTGCGTTCCCGGTATCCCAGCCCTATGCGCCAGTCCCCGATCCCCATGGCTTCGTCTCCTGACGCCCAGACGCTCCTTCTCTTCAACGGCGACCTGAAAGTCTGAACACAGCCAGTTTGATGGGGCTTAACGCAAGCGTATACATGGCCGGGTTGATGACTTGATGTTTGCTAAGCTTGGTTTGACGCAGCATGCCAAAATCCCGACAAAACGATGCAAAGCTATTTCTACAATGATTCTACAAACAAAGCTTCAGCGCCTGCCTCCTTCCATGCCGCATCTCCGTCAGAAAATCTGCCCTTCCACTCCCGGCCACGGCCCCAGGGGTTGCGAATATGTACCAGCCTGGGCGTGGGAGATGGCTTTGCAGGGGGTGGACAGTTCATGACCGTGGTGACGTTGGGTCTTTCCCTGGGACAGGCTCCGAGAGGCTTCTCAACTGCTCCAGCTGCACGGATTTGGCAAAGACCCAAGACGGTGTAGGCATGCAGAGGGGCGATGCCATGCTCCCACTTGCCTCAAAGGGCGGGTCACGAGCGGTGGGACCCGGGAGTTTGAATGCCTGTGTTACAAGACCTTGTTGCCAAGTCTGGTATGAACATCTGCGTATTGTCTGCATCTTCCCCTTCAGAACTCTATGGCACGGGGCACGGCAAGATTAGCGCTTTGGATGATCTACTCATGCAACCTGATAGAAGGCATCCTTGCGAGGCTCAAAGGAGGAAGGATGTACCCTCGCTCGATGGTTCCGGCCTTTGCTTCCACAGCCCAGCACGCCGCCAGTGCTGGCACACTCGCACATCGTGTTGAACAGCTCCTTGAGCAGAACAAGTGTGGGCATGCGGCTCTGGTCTATAGGATGCAGGTTTCGGACGCCAAGCGTCCTCCTTGTCGGCAGGATCCTGCCGGTAGGGCCGCAGCTTCCTTGGCTTGGATGCAAAACCTCGAAACAGCATGCTCTCGACACGCACGAAACTTGGCCAAGCTGCACAGTCCGGGGCATCAGGACGCCCGTCAGAGCGTAAAGGGCATCGGGCTGACTGCCACTGGAAATGGCACGATAACTCCCGTTGAGCTTGGCAAATGCCTGCAACACCGTTTGTGCCCCGGCGCAGGCACTGCCCATTTACTTCTGCCCAGCCCTGCTCGAGATGTGACAACCGAGGTTTTGAACACTGCAGGTTGAGGGTTGGTAGGCCTTCTCCACGATGGCCACCCAGAAGCTGTCGTGCGGAGCGCCTGCGAAGATGAGCTTGTTGCGGCCACGGCAGGGCAGCCGGTCATCGATTACAACGATCCTCGGCTCAGGGCCCAGGTCGGCTATACACAAGAGACATAGTCCCTGAATTCAACTCAAGGCCAGGAGCCGCCAGGCCCCATCTTGCCAAAAGCGCACGGCATAGAGCCTCAAAGGACTCGACGGCTCTTGATGGCATCTGCACCGGCACCGGAGATCTGCAAGCTGCCACCCAGAAACCCTTCCTCGTTCACGGTCTGCGAACCTGGAAGAAGCCTGGCCATGAGTACGTCGGACTGCGAAACTGCCTCAGGACTCCAAATCAAGGAATGGCATCCATGCATGGTTAGCAAAGATGCACCAACATCAGCCGCAACTTCACGAAATTCCAAATGGTTTCAAATCCTGCGAAGCTGGCCAAACCTTCATCAATGTTTCTGGACCCAGTCGCTGCAACCGCACTCAGGAAGTAGCAGTCTCCAAGCTGCCCCTGCCGACTTGCGAATTTGGAGAGCCCAGGGCTGCCCTTCTACCTTTGAAGAGTTCTATGATTCCATGAGCAAAAGCATTTCGCAACTGACCGGAGGCAGACACAGGAAAGCCAAAAAACGGCCTTGCCACCATGACCAAAGAAACATGTATCCTAGCCGAAGCTTTGCGCGGAAACTCCGAAACGGCCTTACGCAACATGCGACAGCTACTCAAAGTCGTCGCATTGCACCCTGCCTGCTCTATGTCACATGCCGAAGCTCCATCCTTTGCCAGCGGCCCATTGCGACTTGCTTCGCCCATGTCCCAGATGCGAGCCCAATGGTCCACCTCGCTTTGCTGCAATGGATGGCTCAGTGCGGAAAGCGGGATGTACAACACCCGCCTAAAAACTCATGGACCTGCCCTTGGCATACGCGGCCGAGTGCTCCTTCCCACTTTCTCTCCACCTAGGAAGCCCTCGAAGCCTCCCTAAAGCGAGTTCAAGAGTTTCCGTGGAACTGATCACTTGCCTTGAAGGGCGGCTTCTTGCCAGCAGCTTTGTCACCCAACTCCACGGCGCTGCCCCCAAACCTTGCAAGGTTTGACTGGGGCTTACCGCGAACTCTGACACATTCAGCAAAGATACAAGGGACCTTAGGGTTGTCTCCAGGATCCGAGGAGCAGGGAGTCATCCACAGCGTCGAAGCTTTTGTCTTGAAACACTTCCTTGCCATCCTGCTCACTGCGGCACACTACCTCTCCAACAAGCCGAAAACCGGACTACCGAAAAACTGAAAGGAGCGCCGAGTAAGGGCTTCAGGCATGACAAAATCACCGACGACCACCCTTTACCTCCACAGCCCCAATGCCCGCGGTCCCGGAGCTTCTGGCGCAGCTTGAGCCAGCTATCATCGTCTGGAAAACAACGTTGGTCGTATTGCGGAACATCCGGAGTGACGAACTTAGGCTTGACCAAGCACGCCGACGCCGACGTCTCCATCAGCTGGCTCATGTTGACTCGCACCAAGCTGTCGGCGCCTTTCTCCTCAGCGGGTGAGGCACAACACGAAGGATGCCCCTGCCAGCGGCACTAACGGCTTGCCAAACACCGAAAAATCGATCCGGAACTTGTTGACTAGCTTCTTTATTGAACACCCACGAAACAAACTCTTCATAGGAGATCTTGCCATCTTTGTTTGTATCCATGCCATCAACCTCAGCTCAACACGGCTGCCCGCAGCATTTTCTTCTTACCTGCTTCTTTGACCAGGTCGCACTGCAGGTCCAGTATTGAGGGCTTTATGCTGATTTATGCTCGCATCATCAAAGATCAACTCGACATGATTGCATCAAGCCAAAGACTCAGGCTGCATCGTTTCTAGACCCCATACGAAAGATCACAGAAATGCTCCAAATAAAGCATCCCAGGCACCAGTTGGTCAAGCTCAGGGGCTCCAAAGCTGGCGAATAGCTCACGCATCCTGGGCCCAACTGGTTTAAACAGACCGCAAGATTCACATACTTTGGCCGTTGCACCATACGGGCATCAGTGTAAACTCTAGTGGCACAAGTGTGGCTTCAGATTTCAATCCCTGTCTGCACTGGGGAGTGCAAGTTCTCTAGTATTTTCTGCGGGCTACTACAACCGATGTTTTGTGCACAAACCAAGCAGCTCTTCTTTGGTAATTAGTCCATTTCCGTCAGAGTCAATGCTGTCGAATGCGTTTTGAACGCGTCGTGCCAGCTCGACGGACATGGCTCTGGACCCAGAAGATTGCGTGCTTCAATTGGTGTACCCACAGAATCTGACCTGCAACTTGGAACATTGTTGTTCATCTCTTTTGTTGCGGTGCTCCACCTCTAGTTTCGTGGGTTGTACTTTTGGGGCCCTGAAAAATACTTATGAATAGGTACCTTCAACTTTCAACTAGTAGGAACCATAACGGAAATTTTAAGTTTCCCAAAATGCCACCTAGTCACCTAGTCTCTCACTTCTCTCACATCGTAACACCTTCCGAGACAGCATTACTACGCAGAGCCCGAGAGCCACAATGCCCCTGCTCCGCATAGCTCGGGTCAGTACCTATGAATAAACTAACACGTGAACAACTGAACGATAGGGGGGCGGCACAGTCGAAGTTGTGTGCAGGTCGGACAAGGGTCCGCGGCTGCATCAGCCAAGTTGAAGCAATCGACGCTGGCACTTGTTGAATCCGGATTTTGTGTATGCAAGCACCATAAAGATCAGCTTTTAAACTCTTACATCACTAAGTTTCGCAAAAAACGAAGACTCATAAGTCATAAACCTTGGATCGTAAACGAGAAACGAATCCTAGATGAGAATCGCAACTCATTGTCCATAAACACCATGGACCATGGGCACCGTGCTGAGTCCCCTGAGGAGATGCTTGGGTGGTCGGTGACACTTTGTTAAACTTTCATAAATCGTGCAAAACAGCGTGGTGCCAGCCGCAGGAGCAGTTGCATTCAGACATTGCAGTGACGTTGAATGCCGTGGCATGTTCTGTATGAGCGACGCCTCCGTTCTGTCATGCAGCAACCCTTTGCCTGTGCTGGCACTGTGTAAATACCTGCACGCAACCTCCCCGTGTGACTTAGCATCCCTGTGCTCCACAAACCGTGGTGATGCCTGGTGGTCCAGGTGGTGGAAAGAATCTTGACATGACCTATGTGCCTGCTCATTCGCAGAGATTTGCTGGTGGCTACGGCTGTGGAGTTCCCACTTGATCACCTGTTCTTCGTGCAACCATCAGTATGGAGCCCAAGAACGCTACGCTGTGGACGGTCAGGAAGTGACATGCGCGCTGTGCTAGTCCATAAATTGGCTCCAATAGGACTCGTCACGGCATTGAAATGGGGTCTGGACTTGGTTGTAAAATGTTCTGATACGACGCTCCCCGCTATGACCTGATTTCAGCAGGGTAACCGTTCCATGTTTGAGGCTCCTCCGATCCCAGCTAAGCGATTGCATCACAACTTTTCCGCTGCCCGGTACAAAAGCTCACACAGCCCAGCGTGCACCGCAGAAAGAGAGGTCGGAGCCGGCTGCAAGGCAGTAGTTGTTGCCAAAGGCAGCTTCGAGGCTCCGAAGGTTCTGCAGCACCTGTAACCGTCTGTATGAAGGTACCGGCCGTGTACCAAGGCACGGCGTGTCCGTGGCCTTTTGCCGAAGCGCGGTTGCAGCGAGGAGGGCCACGTCAAAGACTAAGCACAACGAAAGGAAAAAGCTCCGCAACTTGCCGAAGGCGAACACGCGAATCTGCACCAGCGTCCAGCAGCGCGTTCAGCGCAGCCACTTCCTGAAGGTAGTGCACCAGCGTGTGCTGGTGCTTTAAGCGCATACGCCATTGTATGTCAGCAATAGGCGTCCCGTGGTGGTATGCCCAAACGGCCCCGCCGCCGCGTAGACCGCCAGGCGTGAGCTCGCAGCGGTCCAGCCCCAGCAAGCCCAAAAGCATATCCCAACAGCGTCTATACGCTGAGGGGCCAAAAGGATAAACTGGGTCCTCCCAGTCCAGTGCAGCGACAGCGGAGGATACCAGCTCCACAGCAGTAGAGAAGTCGACCCGCAGATGTTGCGTCCGAGGGCCTCCTCTCGTGGCCGTCTTAGGCCCCTCCAGCTTGACAAAAATGGCGCAGAGGCCGCCCAAATGGTCGGCTGGAAGCAGAAGTGAACGCCTTCTCGTCTTTATCACCGCCGATCCGCGCGAGACCGTAGAAAGCGATGAGCGTCACGGTGGCCCAACGTCTAAGCTTCATAGCCCAGGCCAGGGAAACCAGAGCCCGAACCAGGATCTCGGGAACCGGCGTGCGATGCACTACCGGCTGCAGCCTCTCCCATCTCGACACCATCTCCCAGGCAGGCCCCAGCTGGCCTTTCATTCCCCAAGTCAGTCGCTGAGCCGCGACCACCGTATACCTGAAGTTCTGCAGCGAGCCTCCTGTCTGGTACAAGTGGTCACCGTAAGCGCGGAGGGCCACGGCGAGCAGCGAGGGGCAAGCTACGAACGACGAAACGGGGTCAGAAGACACGACGAAGGAGTGCACCCACTTGAGGAAAGCGGTCCAGGCAAGAAACCCGAGCCGGGAGGAAGAGGCAGAGTGCAAGGGAGCGCCGGCAAGTCCACCGGGCACGGGGGGGCGCCGCGAGGGCGGCCTAGGACCTGGGTGAGCGGCCTCACCGATGCAGCAGCAAGGGGGAAGCTTGGCGCAGGCAGCTGGGTCGAGCGCGCGGTCCTGAGTCCAACCGGTACCGGCGCACAGGGCAAGCGCGAGGAGCTCACAAAGACCACGGGGAAAAGGCTGAGCCACCAAAGTCCAAGGCTTACGGTGGGTCTTGGAGTAACCTCGGAGGCGGAAGTGACCGGGGGCAGAGCAAAGCAGGCGGCCGCCGGCAAGCGAGCAGTTAGTAGCGATCCTAGTGCGTTTTCGCCACACGCAGCCGCACCTGCAGAGGTCGATCCGAAAGCAGCGGGGGGAGCCAGCCTCAGCGACGGCTTCCCAGCCAGGCATACGCCAAAAGAACGACAGGTCAGGGTTCTCGAACCAGTAGAGGCCCCAGCCTCGACAGCGACAGACCTCAGGTGAGCCAGCCAGGTGCACAGGCGGTTGTCGCGGCAGACCTTTTCGAACTGGGCGGGGCTGAGGTGCTCGAGCCCCTCGGGCTTCGCGGCAGAGCGCACAGGCACGGCAGCAGCACGGCTGAAGGACGAGCAGGCGGGGGACGCCCCCACAGCGAGGAAGGCACCCTGACGCAGCAAGGCCAAAAAGCCGTTCGCGGAGACCTGAATCGGAGAGGTCCTCAGAGGCAGAGCGCTTGAAGTCAAAACACAAGACCCACGGGCAGCCGTGCCTGACGAGTGAACGTGCGACGCCGCCACCACCGGAGAACAAATCCAGGGCACCGGGCTTCGAGAGGTCGGGAAGACAACCCCTGAAGACAAACTGCCGCTGAGGAAAGACACCGAGGAGCTCGCGAACGGCAGTGCTCAAGGCAGGGGGCCCGGAGGCCTCGGAACAGACAGCAGGCGGGACGGGCGGTGGCTCGGCAAGGCGAGGGGCTGAGCCCAAAACGGCAAGGCGCTTGAGAGAAGCACTGCTTTGCAAAAGAGGGCCCGGAGAGCCGCCGAGCGAAAAAAAACAAGTCTTCCTGACAAAACCCTTCTCCATCAACCGAGAAACCGGAGTCACGAGTGAGCTTGTCGAGAGCGGCAGTGCGGCCTGAACAAAGCTCGGACCACCACCTGGGTGCAGGGCTGACAGGACCGGCCACTTGCTGATGACGGGTCGGGGCATCGGCGGGGTTCACCGCGGTGGGGAAGAAAACCAAGTGAGGAATAATGTGAAACCCCACATACGGTGCGATGCTGCGAGAGAGCAAGTCGTTGAGGGGGGGCGAAGCAGACCTTCCCTTGACAGCGGCTCCAAGGGCGACCTGGCTGTCCAAGCCGAACAAAAACCTGTGGCACGGCCTCCTGGACCCGGCCCTGGCTTCCTCTCGAAGGAAGGCTTCGAGCTCGGCTATGTTGATATGCACCCTAGACCGATACTCGCGCCTCCAAAGCTCAGAGTAGGCAGGGTAAGAGGCGAGGCCTAAGTACAAGGGCGGAGCCGAAAACGATGCCCCATCGGGGAGCTCGAGCTCAGGCTCCAGGAGGTCTTTCTCCCGCAGCCAAGCAGCAGTCTCACACAGCAGCCTGGTCCAGGCACCCTTCTGGATGCTTTGCCTGACACCTTCGGTCGCAACCTCAACCGGCAACGGGGCTCGAACAGCAGCTTGCCAAGTGGACGAGGCATCAGTGGCAGTGACGGTGGGGTCCACGGGGGCCCGCAGACACACGCAGGAAAGCGGCCCGAGCAGCATGAGAGAGGCGAGCTCGGCGGCCAGCTCAGGCGACAGCCGGATGATGTCATTCGGCCCCAAGCCCCGGGCGGCGGTAAACACGTGCACCATGCTTGCAAGAAGCCGCCTTCGGAGCAAGAACACCGACAGCCAGGAACCAACAAGGCTTTCGAGGAGCTGGGCCGTACACGACCCTAGCTGCAAGACCCGGCTGGTGATCAGGATGAGGGGCCACAGTCTCTCGGGATTTGGCCTGACCCACCCACTTTCACCGTGCACGGTGATGCCCCAGAACGAGCCCTTGGTAGCATCGGCAAACACCTTATCCTCGCTCACGGTCAGCGGGGCCTCGCGGTAGGCCCGAAGAGCTGCATCAAGCCTCCCACGCCCAACGGAGGTGAGCCGCCGGTCCCTTATCGAAGGCAGGTCAGCTGCCAAGGCCTTTTCAAGAAAGATCAAATCATCGATGACCAGGCCGACGCTGAGGAGGCCTCGAGGGGGAGCCACAGCATGCACCAACAGTTCTCCAGGGTGAAGGGCTTGGCCGCGGAGGCAAACGCCCAAGTGAGCACATTGGGCGAATTCGCACGCCGACGAGTCACCCATGGCCAGGCTTGAAAAAGCAACGTGGACGCGAGGCGGGCCAGAGCTGAAAGAGGCAGCCGGGACCCGAAACACGAAAGCAGCTTCTTCGTGGCTAAGGGAGTCAGCAAGCAGGTTTAGTTTCACTCGGCCGGGCGGCGCCACGAACTGATAAAAACAATCTTTCAGGTCCGCCCCTGCGAGCAGCAGGACCTGCTCGGGCTCGAGAATCACCGATGTAACCGCGCTGGCCGAAGCTAAAGTTCTGGCCCACTTTGAGCAGGCATCCTCGAGGCAGTTCGCCGGCCGAGCATCGAGTATCAACCTGTCCTTCTCGGCCGACTTCGGCACACAAAACAAGCCAGCACCAAACTCCTCGCGCCCGGGAGGATGAGAAGAGACCACGAGCCGCTCGGAGTCAGCAAGGGCACGGTACAGCAACAGGCGTTCCTCGGCCCTGGCCAGAATGCGAACTCGGGGGGGGATCTCCTCGGGCTTAGGGGGGCGAGCGTGCAGCAGAGGGTGCTCGTACAGGTGCCGGGTCTTAGGGTCAAGGAAGGGCTCGGGCCTAAACCTAGAGGGCCCGGGCAACTTAACCCTAGAGGCTTGAATCGGCTTGGCATTGGTGGCTGGCGGTCCCGGCAGAGTGCCGACAGTGTGGGCCGGTTGTGCAGCAGGCGACGACGTGACAGAAGGAGGGCCCAGGTACCCACCGTAGGCAGAGGCCAAAGAAGAAGCGGCTCGCGAAAGGGCACCTAGGACCTCACAGTGACCTTCGACCTTGGCAGCGTGCCGGCCAAGGTCCCCGGCAGAAAACCTTAAAGGGAAAAAATCACCGAAAGCCCGCAGGCGCTTCACTGTTTCAGCTTGGCGCCTGTTTAGCCTTGCCTTAGACCTGATCTCCCGAGGGCACATAGCCGGCTTGCCGAGGTACAACCATGACAGCACGGCAACACAAAGGTTCAGCAGGACGAGTTTCCAGCTGTCGTGGCCACACGGGCGGCGGAAAACCTCAGGGTAAGGAAGGGGGCAGGGCCACACATGCGGCGTAGAGGCAGGTTGGAGCCCCTCGTCGAGCATACTGCGGAGAAATCGAGCAAAAAGGCCACCCTTTGAAAGCAGGAGGCGGGGCAGAGAATTCAGCAGCCCAGGCACGGAAAACGAAGGTGCACGGTCCCCGGGCACGTGGGACGGCCCACGGGCCCGTTGGCCAGGCAGTTCGGGCTGGGGCTGCGGCATGCAAGCCTCTCGGGTCACGACTTCGGGGGCTTTCTCGGCGGGCGGCCCGGGCCAGCGGCTGCACCATCGCTTGCGGTCTCGGCGGGGGTGTCTTGATGCACGTTGCTGGCCTGCCCCTTTTGAAGTTTCTGCCGGCGCTCTGTAAAATCCATCTGCTCCCTCAGATGAGTCAGGGAGACCTCTGCCCACCTGGAATCCAGCAGGCGTGAATAAGCCTGGCTCGGGGAGCTTGAGCTGGAGTGCTCCCTCAGACGGAAGGCTTGCACCAGCTTCGCCGTCGGACTCCTCCAGAGGGTCGGCCGCCTGCACAAGAGAGGGCTCGGGGATGATGCGGGACCCCGCGGGCTGGCTGACCAGTCTTTCGAACTCTGCCAAGGTGGCGGGCGGGATCCCGGCAGCCCGGGCGGCCGATGCAACAGACGGGTCCAGAGAACCTCGAGCGGAGGCGGCCTTCGGCACAGTCTTCGGGGCAGGCTTGACCTTGGGACGGCTGCCACCTTTGACCTCGGGAACCTGAGCACCTGGCAGGGCAGCTATGAGACGCTCGAGCCTTTCGAGGCGAGCAGCAAGGGGCTCCGTTGCAGAAGGGCCCGCGGACTCTGCAGAGGCGAAAGTGTAGTTGTCGCTCACAGCAGCGACCAGGGCCGGCACGAAAGGGAAGGCGGGCTCGCCCCCGGGAAGGCTGCCAAAACTGACAGAGGCAGGCTCCTCCGACACTTCCAGGGCACCTTCGGCTGCAGGCTCCACCAAACCGAACCAAACCCTCAAAGCGAACGCTTCCACGGCCGAGCCACGGTCTACAGCGGAGCAGGCGGCGACTTCGGCAGCTGCAACCTTCGTTAAAAACCCCTTCGGGAGCGTACGCTTGGAGACCTTCTTGTGCCAGGCAGAGGCGGGAACGGCCAGCACCAACTTTCCTTCGAGTTCCCTCACCACCAAGGCCTGCACGGTGATGGCTTCGTCGCCATCGTCGGCACCACATTTGAGCAGAGCCGCGGGGCAAAAAGAGTCCACGAAACCGTCGCCTGTAGCAAGGGCGTCTCTGGCGGAGAGCGGGTCTCCGTCGTAGTCAGCTTCCGGCTCCGAAAGAGCCATCTCACCACTGGCTCGGCAAGGGGAGGTCCGCGGCTGCACACACGGCAATCACGTCGCCTCTGGCGGGCAAGCCGATGCAAACACTCGAGCCGAGGTCTGACCCAACTTTCACCAGCTGCTTGCAATCGCCGAACCTGTTGAACACCTGAACTGGCGAAAAAGTGGTGCCGTGGTAGTCCCTAGCAACCACCCAGAACCTAGAAGCACCCTGAAGCCTATCCCTACCCAAGGCTCCCCTGTGCTCGTCGTTCAGGCAACGCCTCAGGAACAGCCCGATCTCACGGCAGGCAGCCCCTCGGGAAGAAGCAGAGGAAGGTAAGGCTCCTGCAGGCGAGGCAGAGCCTGACGCAGGTCCACGGGCAGGCGGTGTGAAGGCCGAAGAGGCCCGAGCAGCAGGAGGCGAGGCGGAGGCAGAGAGCCGCACAGGCAGGGGTGGAGGCTGAGACCCAGCAGGCACAAGGTCGAAGGAGGAACCGTCGGACTCCTCAAGTTGAGCCGCCAGGCGGGCGACAGTAGCACGCAAGTCGGCCACTTCTCTTTCCAGAGCAGCCACACGAGAGCCAAGGCTCATGTAAGGAGGCGGTACGAAAATCCAGACCGCCCCTGAAGACGGCTCGCACGCAGCCGCTGCCGTGGCCAGGCTGGCGGCTGCAGCCCGGCAAGTTGGGCTTCAGCTGAGGCCGGACAAGTGCGAAGTCACCACGTGCGGGGGAGCTGTGCACGAGGTGGACCTCCGGCTCTTCCCAACCGGCTTCAAGCTCAACGGGTCTGGGTCCTTCAGTGTGCTGGGAGCCCCCATCGGCCCGGCGCCCTACTGTGAGGCTTTCACGGCGGAGAAGCGGGTGGACGCTGCCCGCCCACTTCTTCAGGCCATGCCAGACTCGCAAACCGGGCTCCTGTTGCTGCGCTACTGTGGCGTTTGCCACGCGGGTGACGCCGCCCAGCCTCATCCCCCAGGCCTTGCACTCCTTCGATGCCGAGTCCCGTAGGGCGGCCTCGGCATTCGTCATGTTCACCTGCATGCCGACGCTGCGTATGTTGCGTCCCTGGTGGCGACGGCTTCCCGCTGCCAGGAGCTGGACCCTCACTACGCCTTCGCCACTTGGGGGCCCTACAATTCGGCCATCGTCGCCGACTTCAACCAACGGGTCTCGCCCGCAGATCATGTTGCGCTTCCGGTGCCGCCTACCTTCCGACAGCAGCTGCTGTCTCGGGCGCTGGACCACGTGACTGCGCTGCGGCTGGGCTCTGCTGGGCAAGGCCGTGAGGCGTTTCGGGCGCACTTCCAGCTGCAACGCCAACCTCATGCTGGCTCCTGGCTGCAGGCGCCGCCTTGCGAGGCTCTTGGTCTGCATGTCGAGGCACCGCTTTAAATTTTCCGGATCATGATCCGCCGGCGCCTGCGCCTCCCCGTCGCTATGAGGACATCCCGTGCCCGCTCTGCGATGGGGTCATGGACCGGTTCGGCGACCATGCATTGGTGTGTGCCTGCGGAGGCGACCGGGTCAAGCGCCACAATCGCCTTCGTTCTCTGCTGGCCAGTCGCGCTAAGGTCGCCGGCTTGCACCCCGAGGTTGAAAAGCCTGGCCTCCTGCCGCCACGCCTGGATGCCCATGGAGGCCCCGAGGACGGGGTGCGGCGGGGTGGCGGCCGCAGACCCGCTGACGTCTGGGTTGGCAGTTGGGGCATCCACGGGCCAGCCGCCTTTGACCTGGCTGTGACTTCTGGGATGAAGTCGGGCTCCCTGGCTGCCGTCATCACGGATGCAGGACAGCCAGCTCGGGACTACGAGGCCCGCAAGGGCACGCATCCGAACACACAGGCTTTGTGCGCGGCCGAAGGCCTTCAGTTTGTGCCGCTGGTGGTGGAGGCCGCGGGTGGCTGGGCACCTGCCGCGCGCCGTGCCTGGAAGGAGCTGGGTGAGCAGCTTTCGGCCCGGACAGGCGACCCGACATCCGAGACTGCGGACCAACTCCTGCAGGCGCTGGCGGTGACGCTGCAGCGTGAGAACGCACGCGCAGTGCTTCGCCGCCAGGGCCTGCCTGACGCGGACTTGCGGTTCCTCCCGGAGCGGCGAGGTGCAGGAGGAAAGCCCGAAGGTAGAGGAGGAGTTCAAGAGCGGGCCACGCGAGGAAGCCGACTAGGACCCCAAGTCCAAGGCTGGGCCAATGCAAGCCCTCCAAGCACACGGGACACGCGAAGTCCAGGGGAGGAGGATCGGACGCGGAGAAGTGGTGAAGCAGGTGCACGAGGAGCCCGAACGACGAAGCAGACGACGCTCCTAACAGGGCACGGCTCATAGACCCGAAATGTTTCAGAGTCACTCCGTCGCGAAAAACATGAGAGAGCATGTTGTGATTTTTTCCCCTCCCACACACACCCTTTTCAACAATCTACGACACGGTCCCAGTGCTGGATGCCCAAATCCAAGGCAACACCATACTGCAGTGAAGGTGACGTCCAAGGCTGAGGCACAACCAGTACCAGGAGTCCCGGGCACCGAGACCACCTGCACACATTCTTCCGTTTTGTCGCCCGCGGCAAATTCTCGCGGATTCCGCACATGCCCTTCGCGAATGCCGCATGGCAGGAACTGCCGGATCGCCACGACGGTTGCCACACATGTCCGTGGAGATGCCACGCCATGACAGAGGCATCACTGCGGTGGCAACTTTGAGCGTTGCTGAGCGTGCCAAGGCGCGGACTTACCCCGAACTCGCGCAAGGCAATCGGTGCCGCTTGGTTGCCCTCGGCATTGAGCCAAACTGTTCGCCGTCCTAGCTGGAGGAGTGAACGGTAATGGACAGGCGCAAGTGCAGTGGGGGTGGCGCGCCAGGGACGGGTCCGCCGGCCCGTGATGGGCAAGGGCAACCGGCCGAAGGCGGCGCCTGACTGCGATGTGCATGAGGTCGGGCGTGAGGAGGTGCATCGGAAGGGATCGCAGCGACCACATACCGGCATGCGGACCGGACTAGGGTGGAAGGGTGGCAAGCAGGCTCGTGGAGGTCGGGCGCAAAGGTCACGAATTTTCTGCTTCAGCTCGCAAGCGCCCGCCTACCTCGACCCCATTCGACCCCAAACGACGAGAAGCGCCCAACACGCGCTTGCGAACTTGAAATTTTTAATTTTTTTTTGGCGCACCTTTTTCCCAATGGTCCGCCTGTGCGTCGGCGGAGTTAGCTGCCAGCTACAGGACTCCTACGGCGGCTCCGCCGGGAGCTCTCCGAGCGGCAGCTCTGCGCCGTCGCTTGCGTCGCAGGGCCGAATCGGCAGCTCCAGCAAGCTCTGCGCGTGTGCGCGCAGGGCAGCGAGCGCTGCGAGTGCGGTCCAGCGGCGCGTGAGCGCGGCGATTGCTGCGGCCCGCGCCCACGGGACCCGATCCCGGCGCGAGCGCGAGCTAGCCGGCGGAGCAG